TTATTCCATGAAATAACTGATCGTGTCCGTTAAAGTGTGTAATATGTTATTAATTTGACACTTTAACTAGTTATTCTATGAAATAACTAGGTATTCTATAAATTAACTAATGAGAGACAGTTAAAGTGTAAAATAAACAATTTATCTAAAATGAAATAACTAGGTATTCTATAAATAAACTAATGATAGATAATTAAAATGAAAAAGAAGCAATTTATCTAATTTATGCAATGTATAAATGGTACTTATGGAAACGTACCATAAAATCATTTGTTACAACAAGGATTACTAAAATGACACTTGGAATTACAAAGAACATTATTTCTGAAACAAAAACATTTTTTGTTGACATACTGGGTTTTACACGAACATTTTTTAAATCCCTGACCAGTACCTAAACTTTAAGCTGTAGCAACCGACCAGAGCGATATTTCTACATCCGGTACTTCTTCGATTTTAATTAATTTTTGTTCGCAGACACTGAACTGGGATCGGGAATATAATTGTTTTATGCGGCCGTTTCTTGTATCCAGTGGGAAAAATCCTTCTTCGGTTATTTTTATGATGATAGTTAAAATAGATTTGGCATCACCTTTTCCTCTGTCAACTTCAGGTACTGGGATACGAACGGTAAACCCCACAGAGGCTTCAGAATGAGATTTATCCGACATTAATTTCATCTTTTTCGCTTGAATTTCTAAACATTTTTTAGACTCTTCTCTTTCCCTTTGAATATTAAGTTCATTAAAACACAATTTGCAGATTTTCTGCTCAACTTCATCTTATTTCACAGTTTAACGGGCTGCAGATCGTTATTCTATGAAATAACTAGTTAAACCATGAAATACAAGAGAGTTTTACACTTTAACGGACACGATCAGTTATTTCATGGCATAACTAGATATTCTATAAAATAACGGATTTCATACTTTAACGGTAATATATATATATATATCAGAGAATGGGACAAATTGAAAGGCAAATTTCGTAACCGTTCTGGGGGCAAGTCACACCATGTGCACATCAGTTAACATGAAAAGATGCAAATACGGAAATGAAATTATAATAGAAAAAAATTCAGTAATATAGAATGAAAAACAGCTAATCAGCTGATTCTAAAATAATTGCCGTGCTCGGAGTATCTACATGGATCACAGGGTTCTACTACATGGATCGTAATTTGGGTAGTGATTCATCTGGTTTTTGTTACGTTTTTCTCATCACTTCTTCCCTAAAGAGCAGATCCTCGTTATAAATGTTGTTGTTGTTTCCAATCTTTCATAATATAGCCTCAGCCATATCAAATCCTTGAGTCCAAATGCTCTGGCAAAGTCACACCCAAGAATTGTTGGCAAGAGAGTGTTCTTTAAGAAAAATTCAGGGCAATCAAGTATGTGTTCGGGGGAAGCTGGCTTCAAATTTCATTTGCTGCATGTTGGGAAGACTTTGCACCCAAATTTGAAAGTTAAGAATCTTAAATGGTCACTGATGAATCGTGAAACTGTTGTTTGATCCGATCTATCTCCCTGGTGAACTCTAGATCACCACCAGGGCTTTTTCTGAAAACTAGTGGTGAACAGGAGGGGCCTGTAGCAGCTTTTTTACAGGGGGAAAATTTCTTGATAGGTAATGAGGTAGTCAGATGTTGCGACCTCAGTGGTGCCCCTTTTAGCCTTATCTGCTACCAACTTGTGATAGGATCCATTGTAAGTGAACGCCTCTAGTTTTGTTATGAATGTAAATACATTTGTTAATAACGGTGATTACGATACACCCATGTAATTCATTCCTGCAGGAGAAAGAAGATGACACATGGTTTTTCCGCATATCGTGGAGCCTTGCTTTGAGGCAAGAAAATGAAGACTTGACTACCCATAAGTATTTTTTCCTCTGTAGTCGCTTTCTTCAACGAGACCATCAGTCTGATATGAAACAGCAAGTACTCTTGATGACAATTTCTTCAGGACTTGAGGTGATTCGCTCCAAAGAATCCACTCATGACATCATTGGGTAAGATTATAAAAAGTATGCTCGACGGTTGCAGTTTTGTTTTGATGAAAAAGTTATAATAAAAAAATACAGTCGGCGCAGCGTTGGAAAATAATTTGTATTAAAATAATTTCTATCAAAATTAAATTTTTAATAAAAATTACTTTCAAAACATTTTAGTTCGACTCAAAATCATTTGTTTAGAACAGAAAGAGGAGGATATTTTCGAATGTCAGCTTCAGAACATTATGGAAGCAATTATGCAATTATTGTAAATAACAACCAAAGTAATCGATACAAGTTACACGCTTATTTCTGTATTTTTTGATATGGGGTCTTCAAAATTACTTGTTTTATTTCGTAATTTATTGTAGGTGGTCTCTTAAACATCTAAAAATGTAAACTTTATTGTTAAGTACGAGAAATTGCATGGCTTAAACACCTCTAAAGTTACAAAATAATCTTTTAAATATTTTTTGAGAAATTAAAAAAAGATTTTAAGAACTGAAATGTTTCTTCAATTATAGAAAGATAGTATAGTTTGTAAACGAAAGGGTTTTTGTTTTTAAACATCGTTTTCAAACAAAAAGAAGTCATACTGAATCAGAAGTAACCACATTTAATTTCGCCTTTAACTTTCGGGAGGAACCAATTTCTCCATGTTATTGATTTGCCAAAAATTAGGGCAAATTAATAAGCAGAGGGTAGTCCAATGGTAATTTCTGTAAAAAAAAGTCATTGTGAAAAATGGTCCTTCTCATTGATCTTTAATGATGAATGAGAACAACCACTTGTAAAATTAAGCATAGACAACCCTAGGGGTTAACATTTGTCTTAAAACTTCTGGGTCACTACTTTGAGTGATAATTACGCCATCAAATATTATCATACTCGTAGTGTTTACAATATAACGCGTTCCTTAAATTTAAATTTTAACAAGACAAACAACAAATGAGTATGGAGAACTTCACGAGCATGCTATGCCCTGCAAATGAAACAAAAAAGAAATTACTGACGGTGATATTTTACACAAGTGTAGACATGTAAGGGATAACACTCAAAACATGGCAAACCTTGCACTTTATTTAAGTTATGATATTAATTTTCTTCAATATGTTTTGGAATCACAACCAGTTAGAATTTATAAATTACAGGAAACTCTTATGAATGGTAAAATGACGTTTAAATTTAAACACAAATCAGAATGATAAGACTTCCTGTTATATAAAGCCTGTTCAGTGTTCACACATCGCCTCATAAGCATGACATAAGAGGATGGATGCACCGGAAGTTTTCTAAATTTTTTCTGGTTTTAGAAAGCTTGTTATTGTTTACATTCTGTAAAACTATAGCAAATAATAAATTTTAACTTTTAGGCAAGTGATGGGAGCCATTCAGGAATGTAAAACTATGGAAGCAATATCCGGCACTTTGTGGAATCTTCTGTTCCTTTATGAGTTTGAAATTAAAACTCTTTTGAACGATACCCCTGGTCTAATGCAACTCTTGAAGAAATCTTGCGTGGATGTAGAAACTCTTCAAAATGCTGCTGCCACAGCTTTTGTAAGTATACATGTTCATGGCAACACTCATTGTATCGAAGATTCGTTATTTTCGCATACTAATCTAAAGACTTGTTCTATAACTTGCTTGCATGGCGTTTTAGGCGAAGCACAGAGAGAAATCAAATGTTCTCTGAGAGTTACGTAATAAAAAGGTGCCAATGCCCATTGTCGATGTGGGAGTTACTTATTGTTATATGGCGAAATTAGGGAATTTTGATAACGGCTAGTTGTAGCATTTTTATTAGCAACTCCTTTTGAAACCATGTAATCAATTTTACAACAATTTAAATTGTAAATTTTTTAAAAGCTATTCGAGTTATTGATACAAAATAGTTTTCAAAATATGGTAAGTAAACTTCAGGATTTGTTTCTAAAATAAGGAAAAATTCTCCAGACCTAAGCAGGTTTAAGCAAAATTTAAGTATTGAATAAAACGTTTTCAACTAAAAAAAATTTAGGGATCGAGTTTTTGAGCAGATAATGCAACATATAATTTATTTGTTACAAAATAAATCTGAAATGATTGTAATTATCATGATAAAATTGTATTTATTGGATTAATTTTAAATATTGTAAGCCGTAAACTAAAAAAAAAGTAATATTAAATTCTCGAATAAACCTTTGATAATCAAATTCAGTCTTTCCGAAATTTTGAACCTGTGTAAAATTGCTTTGACGTACCCGGGATGATTACAGCTTTCGCATGTAATCAATAATACGAGAAGTTAAAGCCCGTATTTTTAAGCACAAATAGGTATGCATTTTCGGCGGAAAAAGTGGCGATAGGATAGTGATTCACAAACAAGTTGTCACCATTTTATATTTTTTTAGAAGTTTTGTGGCTGGTGGTGATTGTTTATTTTGCTCTATACTTACTAACTCGCAGCAATCTTTCTCAGAACAGCCAGTTGTCGGCGGGGAGGGGGTGGTCAGGAACATTAAGGTTCCTTAATTGCGTGACCAAAAATAGGGCAGGAGAATTATGACCAGTATTGCTCGCCTGCCGTCTTGACTTTTTAAACAAGCTGATTCCCATTAATCTAAAGCTAGTTAGGATTCAGGCCATAACCATGGATAGAACCCTGGTTTCACAATACCTTAATTATAAGCGCCATTGCAGCTTATTGAACCACATGTTTCAATCAATTTGAAGCTGTGATCATTTTAACGATTTAGTGTTCTAGATATTTAATGAAAATTGCTTTCTATTTTCACAAGATAAAGTCGTAGTCGTCAAAAAGGAGGCAGATTTGGGGGGGGGGGGCTTTTATCTCACTACACGAGTTGCCTCTCCTCACAAAAAATGGAACGTTTTAAATAAACTTTTTAAAAAATGATTAAAAATTCCTTTTTGTGTGAATGAAGTAAATAATAGTATTAACCAGTAAACGTTTGGACTCATAATAACATTAATAATAATAAAATTTATATTTTAGTATGTTCATGAAAAATAGATATTCATCGAATCAAGTGTAAACAATTAAACATCGATTTTCGTATTTACCTGATTTAAAAGCTACGCTTTTCCATTTGTATTCATGCGATTTAAAAATCGTACATTGCGATTCCTAGTCACGTGATTTAAAAATCTAATATCACGTTTTTTATTTCTCCATTTTAAATCAAATATCGCAATTCGCGTTCACGCGAGTTTATAATACAATTCCGCGATTCGTATTCACGCGTTTTTAAAATTCAATGTTGCGATTCGTACTCATACGTTTGTAATATCAAACATCAATTTTCGCATTTATACGTGATTTAAAAACTATGTATTGCGATTCGTATTCACGCGATCTAATAATTATGCACAGTGGTTCGTGTTTACTTGATTTAAAAATTCATTATTGCATTTTGTATTTTAGCTTTTCTAAAATCAAATATAGCGATTCATATTCACTCGATTTTAAAATCAAATATCACGCTTCCTGTGAGAAGTAAGATTTTTCTTGAATTAGTTACTCTAGAGGTTGTGTTATTCTGCATTAGTAAGTAATTTAATTATAAATGTTAGTATAAAAAGTTATGTTAAATATGAAACAGGTATGGTATATAAATTCATATAAATTTTTTGTTCGTAAAATTTCCAGGCTTTTTTACTCTCTGCCCCAATCACCCCTTTAATTAATAATATATTATTATTAAGCTAAATTAAATATAAATTTCCGTTGCTAATTTAAATACGTTATAAGACACTGAGGGAGTAAAATTAAATACTGTAAGTCATTACAAAATTAGGAGTGGGCATAAATATAAACAAAAATATATTTTAACGAGATTAATTTGAAGGACAAAAATGATTATGAAGAATTGTAAAACTTTTTCTTTCTTTTCTTTAAAGGCTTGTAACAACAAAGAAAACCTTAAAGTTGTGATGATGGCCCTAAAAGTTGCCGCAAATAAAGAAATACCTGATAGCAAAATGATCAGTCAAATATATCACAGTTTAATTCAGGTAAAGCCCTTTTTCTTATGTATATCTATTGATTAGTTCTCAAGAAATCTCTTAGTATTAAAAAAATAATAACAATCTGTATGATGATGTCATAGCGGCAATCTGTAACATTAACTTTTTTCCTTGTTATTTTCGAAATTCTTGACAGTTTCCTTTTCTTATATAACTGATTTCAGAGAAGTTTCACAATGCAAATATGTTCTAGAAAATTTGAAAAAATGTCTGTTTAATGTGACATCATGATGAGATGAAGTTTTGTATAAAAATATGGGTATTCTCAGGAAGTTTAAAATCTTTTTATAAACTGATATCAATTATAAATTAAAATAATTTTTGATTTTTTTAAACATTACTGAAAAAGTGATTTTTTTAATAAAAAAATTGCATTGTGTAAGACTTTACAAAGCGTTTTAAAATTGATAAAAAGCAGCGCAAGAGTAAGTATTTCCGTAAATTTTAGCACCGTTTTATAGATGTAAAACTGGTTCTATAAAATTATGCAAAACGCCATTTCAAATTCGACACCCTTTCATACAAAAAATCATTTTAGTTTTCAAAAATGGATGGTTGACTGAATGTAAGCAATAACAAGCTTCCCAAATCGGAAGAAAATTAGAAAAATTTCCAGTGTATCCCTCCGCTTATGTTATGCTTACGAGGTGATGTAAGAACAGGCTTAATATTCCCGGAAGTTTTATTATTGTGATTTGTGTTTAATTGTACGCGTCGTTTTACCATTCATAAGAGTTTTCTATGATTTATAAATTCTAATAGGTCGTCAGCCTAAAACAAATTTAACAAAAATTAATACCACAGCATAAATGAAGTGAAATTTTAGTGCGAAAGTTATATGTTAAGTGAAGTGAAGTGTTATATTGAAAACAATACAATTATAATAATATTGGATGATGCTTTTTTCAGGCTTATTTATAGGCTTAAAAATCTTTTGGAAGTAGTAACCTAAGCCTTACGACGAATTTTAACCCCTAGCACTATCTGCGCTTAACTTAAGACGGCTAGCCATCCATAGAAAATGAAAAATCACGCTGTGTGTACTGATTGGAAATCAAGAGATCAGCTCCTGACTTGTTAGCGGCGGTGACGGACAGGTCAGCTGATTGGCAAATTTACTTTGGCAATTTCCTCTTGGCGGTTGGTTTTAGCTCATACCCTCCACCCCAACTACCTCGCGAAATGATCATGGTCTTTCTTTGAGCAGTTTTTCTCGTGATTGCCAGAGAGTATACTGTCAACCATTTGAGAATATATATGCCTAGTTTTCGATTTTTGTCTTCATTTAATGATATCCTTCCATCATATACAAAAGTTTGCCTCAACCAAAATAGGTTTAAATTACCCGAGTTGCTTGATATTAAAGAACGAAATTGCCTGTTATAAAAAGAACGATTATCTAAGAATGCATCTCGAAATTTTCCAAACTCCGAAATCAGAGATATCTGGAGAGCCTACTATTTCTAAGTTGGCTTCGAGCCGTGGCAGGAAATCTAAAAAAATGTCCTCTTGAAAAGTAAAATGTCCGAAGAAATGAAAATGTGTAAGGTCATGCGCAGTGGCGTGTAGAGGTGCGTGAATTCATGAGAAAACTATTACTTCTAAAAAAGAGAAGTTCAATCAATGAAGGGGACTAAAAACTCAATTAATAATTGCCAAAAAATTGGGTTAAATAATTTTTAAATTTTAAGCTCCTGTTTTCGATTTATTTATGAAAATGTAAACAGAAATTATATTTTCCAACAAAATATTCCTAATTTTTTCTTAAATAAAAATAAGATTTAAATTTTATAAATGATCTTTTCTATTAATGCCTAACTTAAAACCTTGTTATTTAATTTGAAAATCATACTTGCTTCATTTCAAATACTATTAAGTGTCTTGCAATGGTGTGCAAATGTTTCCGGCCATTGTATTTTTCATAAAAATGTTCAGCTTTTAGCTTTTTTAAATGATTGTAAAACAAATAATTTTAATTTTATTAACTTTTACAACCAAATTCAAATAATATAACATTAATACTTATTGATTATTAGAAGTATAAATATTTCTAAACATGACAACTAAAATAAACAACGATACTTTCGAGTTAAAAAGTATCCGGCCAGAGCATGATTGGAATTTAAAATTTTTTTTTTAAGCAAATTGAAAATTTTGTAGAATAACTGAGTAATATAATATTTTTCATAGTTTGCCGTCTGAGCCGTGGTGGCTCAGGAGATAGAGCGCTCGCCTTTCAATGAGGTGAACCGAGTTTGAATTCCAGCGATGGCTGATCGATTTGAATTCGCACTCGGCTCGCACCGACCGAGGTGCTGACGTAAAATATCCTCAGTCGTAGACGGATCATGGGTTAGAGTCCCTTAGTTGCCAGGCTAACCGTGGTAGGTTTTCGTGGCTTTCCTCTCCATGTATGTAAATGCGGGTTTGTTTCTCGTTTTCTGGATTGGGTTCAAAATTACAAAGCTGTGGAGTTAAACATTGATAGCTGTAAACTCAATGTTTGGTTGGCAGTTCAATGACGTTTATAAAATATATAGTTTGCAATCATGCCTTTTGCAGCAATCACAGCCAGCACAATGTTACGGACACAAGAAATTGCACTCAATAAGAATTTGATTTCATTCTGATTGCAAAGCATGCTGTAATTGTATTTATTTGAATATTGATACAAGAATATGTTTTTTTTCTCTCTCCAATAAACGGTATGAAAATTTACCCCGACCTGCCCAATTTAGGTCATAACGGGTAGATGTTTATTTAAATCTAAAAAGCAGTACAAATCACCAATAAACGGTATAGGGGATTATGGTCTGTAGATTGATTTGATCACTGTAAAGCATCAATATTGTAGCCATTACTTTACAAGCTTTGAGTTATGTTTCGTATCGTTGTCTTGCTTAAATATTCTGACATCATTTGATCTGCATACGCCAGAAGATTTTTTTCTAAAAAATAAAGGAAGCTATTCAAAATGTATTTACATGAATACAAAAGTAGGAGTCCTTGATCTGAAGAAAGCCCAAGTCAAAACATTACATCTATTTTGCATATTTAATTTTATCATTTATTTCCCCTTTGAGCGTAGAATATACTTATTGCCTTCACTCCGATCTAAATTTAATTTGCATTCATCAGTACTTTTATTACAGCTCTTGATAGTCCAGGTTTATAGCAATCTGTAATCTGGGCATCTCTTTCTTAATTAAGGGTTTCTTTATGGTTATTTCTCCACGCTACACAACAAGTATCTAGTAACAGTACTGCGACAAAAATTTATAATACAATGCTGTACAATTTGAGTTGCAATAGAATTGCGTTTTATTATACGGATCATTTTTTTTTGTTAGCGAGCCACTTTCACACTTTTAACTTTGTTAACTTAGATTATTAGTAACCAGATCATTTACAATACGGAAATCTTATCGACCATGGGATTCGAACCCGGTTCCCCTCATTGGAAGGAAAACGTTCTATTTCCTGAGCCACCACGATTTAGTAGCAATCGATTGAAATTTTTAGTGCTCTTAATTGTCGATGCCTGAGGCTATTGTCTTCTGCACCCCCTTTTTAAACGACTAGAGATTAGAGAGAGGGCCAAGAAGACCCCTCTCTTTTGTCCTGGTTAACGATTTTAGTGTAAAAGCGTAAGTGTTTTAGATAAATGTTTAAGTTAATTTAAGCGGTCAAGTTCATTTAGGTGGTTAAGTTAATTTAAGCGATTTAGTGTTATTATAATAAGTAACATGTCTTTGTTTCATTGACACTTTCTATAAAATAAGAAAGGAAGGTGCCTAAAGGGGGAATATCTATTCTAGGTAATGTTTCTCATTGTGGAATGCATGGATTCATCCGTAGAATTGGAGCTTTTTGATTTGTGTGGAAAAATATGTAATCAGCTGGAAAACACTCTCGATGGATATACAGAATCAGAAGTAATGAAAACAAAATTATTTTTTCTAACTGTCTAAACTAATACCGGAGAACTAATACCAAAGTGAGAAAAAAAATTAACTCAAATTTTTAATATCAATGTTATTCTGAAAAAAGTCGCATACTATATAAATATGAAAATGAACATAGTTCTCTTTTTTAAAAATCAAGTATAACCATTATCCAGTTGTTACTTCTTTTAAAATACAACAGCTATAATGATAGTACAAGAGATGGAATCAAATGTCATTTTCATTTTCTTATGCGTTTGAACTCTGTTTCACTATGCATTTTGGACTATGTCTATTGTTTTTTTTTAAATGCCAGTTTTCAGCTCTGACCGAAATAAAAAATACACCGACGATTTTTAACCTTCTAACTGTGACGCTGTTTTGAATTTCTGCTTCACTTTTTATGAAAAGAAAAAATTGTTAAACCTACTGTAACTATGAGCTATAACTTATTGTTGTTAACAGATTGATTTTAATTCTTAAAATTTCATATTCGACATTAGCGTGTCTAGTGTTTAAGAAGCCCAATGTCCCTACTGGAAGGCTGGGATGAAATCTACCAAATTCACGAGAATCAGTTCATTTTAAATTTGACATATGCAGTATGCAAAATGAAAAACGGACCATCCTAAATAACTTTTGATCTAATGATCGGAACTTCACGATCTAGGACTCAATCTTAATAGCTTAAGGGGGCGACCTCAAATATGCTAATTAATTAGAGCAGACAGTATTTTAAGTTCAACTAGATCACGAGAATCATTTTAAATTTGACATGCACAGCACGCCATAAAATAAGGACCATTGAGAAATTGATTTTCAAGAAAGTCTGTTCTTTGAAATTCGATTTCTCAGGATTTTGCCATGCAAAATTATATTCTTTAAAGTAATGCAAAAAATTATATACCTTACAATTCAAATTTGCTATTCAATTCAATTAAAATTGAAAAATACCAAAAAACAATAAATATTTACTAAAAGTTATCTTTTGTATGGAATTATTTTTGGATAAGCGAATTTTATAATTGTGCGCAAAATTTTTTCAGTCCGCTTAAAAAGTTCTCGAGATATAACTAAATACGCAAAAAGTTAAATTAACATTAAGGGGCCCAAACTTTAGAACCCTCTCCTGACCAAACTATTGGACCCTATTTCCCAGATTGCTGCTACCCCCAATAGTTTGGGGATCAAAAATCCGAATCCGTCGAGAAAAGCTATTTTTATTCAGAGAAATTTCGTTTTCGTGTCTGATTTTGTAGTTTAAAATATCATCTGCACTTATTAATTAGCATATTTGAAGTCATCCCCTCGAGCTCTTAAGATTGAGTCCTAGATCGTAAAGATTCAGTCATGAGTCAAAAGTTATTCAGGATGGTTGTTGATTTTGTACACTGTACATAATACCAAAAATTGTTTTTTTTATTTTTCTCTCATTAATCCAATTGTTATTCCTTCACAGATTTTATGGCTGACGGTCAAGTGCTGGAACTACAGCATACAAAAAATGACCAGTGGTTGTAGGAAAAGTGCGAGAGAATGGGCTTTGCTCTCTATAAATTTTCTCTCCAAGCTGGACACTTTGAGGTCATTGCACGGTCCCAAAATTCAAAAGCTCTTTGACACCTTCTTCTCATAGTTTCACTTTTTCAATGTATACATATATTTCTTCATATATAGAATAAAAACTAGAGATTGCATAGTTTATTATTTTTTTTTATTATTGTCAAACAGGTATGCGTTTCTCAATATCTATTGCATTTCTGTTGCATTAACCGCTGCTCTCATATTTTATTTTCGGATTTAAGTGGCTGATCCATACAACGGATATGAGATTTTTCACCTCCTGTCCCGAAAATAATAGTTAATTTGGAATATCAGTTAATGAGGAATTGAAGGTGTCAAAAATGTGGACAGTTCTGCTTAGAAAACTAGAAAAATTAATTTTTCAAAGTCTCAAAATTAGTCACAAAGCTTGACAACAGATAGCGATGTTGACTATTTACACGATAAGCCAATGTTTTTCGCTGCATCACAGCAGAAATATTTGGATCTAAGTGCACACCAAATGGATGCTAAGATCTCAGCGTGAACGTATATCAACATTGCTAAAAAGACATCTCTTAAAACGACGTCGCACAGTCTTTTTTTGGCTTTCTTTCTTAAATTGTACGAAATGAGGACAAAAAACTTATTAATACAAAAGCATTGTTTCGTTAATAAGAACTAATCAAAATGATATTTAAAAATCGTAACAAATATATGTACACTGTTTGTATTCAAAGAAACTGATGAATGAATAATAAATATTAAGATGATTTTCATCTACATCGAAACAAAAGTAAAAAAATTCTTCGTCTCACATTTTATTTGTTATGGGCATGTCAGCATAAGTCACACTTTTTTTAGTGACCCAATCACATCCAATGGTCTTTCAATGTCATATAGTTGTTTGTTTTCTAAAAACAAATGTTCTCCTTATTTATCGAAATATGTCGCCAAGTCTAGGATTCCAATAAGACTTCGAAAGTATAAGCTTTTTTTTTAAAAAAAATTCTGCGATATATATCGTGAAAAATAGCGCGAATTAAATTTCCGGCGAGTTTAACTTTTAAAAGCTCTTATATTATTTCGAAAGCATATTCGTATAATTCGATAAACAAATAAAACGGAGCTATAAGTAGTAGCGGCCGATAACTTAAATCCTGTTCCGCAATTTAAAAAAAAAAACTTGCAACGGAGTATAATAGCACTCGATATGAAAGGGAGATAAGAAATCAAAACCACTTTCAATTCCTTATGAAATCTACAGGTGTTTCTAATGAAATTAATGAACAATAAAATTATTATTAAATGCTAAAAAAATGCCATGATTGTCTTTCCTTTTATGTTTCCTATGGCCGTATTGATTCGACAGATTTTAGTAGCTCTTTTGTTTCGCTTTCGCTTTAACGTTAATTTGTAACCCCTTATACTTTTTTTTAAAATTTTGTTTTTGATAAGAAGGATTCCTAAAATACTTGTTACAGTTTCAGGAAAAGGAAGGTTCATAAAAAAAAAAAGATTCATTACCACTTCTTTTGGCATTTCAATTAGTTTAGAAATCGGAAGCATAAGAGGAAACGTGATTTCCTTCCTATTTTCACTCCACTTACCATTTCTACTCTGACGCAGTCAAAATAATGTTAATCCCGCTGCTGTTGCTGCTCATGTGCTTTCAGCATGCTGTGACTAAGAGTAAGACTGAGTTTATTTATTATACTACTCTAGTTCAGCGGTTCCCCATTTTTTTCCGATTACGGAACCCTAAGTAATCAACCTCCTTTTGGCAGAACCCCACATTATGAATAAATTTTATTAAGATGATTTGGAACTGTACAACCCTAATAAGATTATTATTAAAATATTTAATTAAAAGAATGAAGAGTTTTCTTATCGTTTTATTATTAATAATCTTAAATGCGGTATTATGCTAACAATTAAATTTGAAGTCTTTGTACGTCATCTCAGTCTTTGTGCTAAATCTAGTCTAGTTATTAATTTGTTTTTGGTGTATATGTTGACATGAATGATCGAAATCAAAAGAATGTCGACTTTTACGGGTGAATATCATCAATCACATTGCCGCTTTTTTGAATGTCCGAAATATTTGTTATATCCGATTTAATATTAATTTATTTGTTGATATTATTATATTTGTTGATATTATTATATTTATTACATATTTTAATGTCTGCTGAGGGAGTCGCGATGGCTCAGGGGATAGAGCTTTCGCCTTTCAGTGAGGTGAAGCGGGGTTCGATCCCGGTGATGGCTGGTCGATACGAATTCCGCATCCGGCTTGCACCGACGATAGTGCTGACGTGAAATATCTTCAGTGGTAGACGGATCATGGGTTAGAGTCCCCTTGCCGCCTGGCTAACCGTGGGAGGTTCTCGTGGTCTTCCTCTCCATGTAACGCAAATGCGGGTTAGTTCCATCAAAAAGTCCTCCACGAAGGCAAATTTCTCCCAATTCTTGATCCAAGAGTTTCCTTGTCTTCTGGATTGGGTTCAAAATTGCAAGGCTACGGAGTTGAACATTAGTAGTTGTAAACCCAAAAATTGGGTCAGCTGTTCAACGACGGTTATAAAATAAAAAATCTGCTGAGGGTAGATGAGGAGAAACATCAGTGTTCGGAGTACCTGTTGAATGCATACTGGGCAGGGGCACTGGACCTTAAAAAACATTGATATAGGGCATACGGATCAAATGTATACCGGTCAGTGGCACTTGACTTGACCTAGTATATATTTCGGACATTTATCAAAGTGACTATGTGATTATCAACATTCACCAGTGGAAGTCAAAAACAGCCAATTTCGGTCATTTACAGTAGCATATATGTGTCACCCTTAACGTGTATAACTTTAACGTGCACTATTTAATTATTTCATAGAATAACTAGATATTTCATGAAATAACTAGACAGGTTAGTTAAAGTATATATTATAGATGAAATATTTTATACTTTATCTAGTTATTCTGTGAAACAACTAATGAAAAACCGTTGAAATAAGAAATAAAGAATTTTAAAGTTATTTTATAAATTAATTGATCATAAATGGCAAAAATCTCTCGAAAAATACATTTTATTCCTATTGCGGATGATAACTAATAAATAATAAAGAAAAACAGATGATGTAATTTATTATTGCTCATATTAATAACTACGTCCAAAAATAACGGAATAAAGCGTTCACGCACGTCATTGTAAAGCAGAATTTTTTTTTTCCAAAGCAGATAAAAATTTTTCAACTTGCTTAAAAAGTTCTCGAGATATGATGAAATACGTAGAAACTAAAATAACATTCAGAAGTCCAAGCTTTGACCGCCTTGCGGACCAAACTATTCGGACCATATTTCCCAGCTGGCAGCTACCCCCTATATTTTGGGGGAGAGAAATCCAAATCTGTGAAAAAAAAGGAATGTGTATTCCTAGAAAATATGATTTTGAGTCTGATTTCGTGACTTAAAATATCGTCTGCACTGATTAATTAGCACATTCGAGGTCACCCACTCGAATTATTAAAATTGAGTTCCAGAATGTGAAGATCCGAGCATTAGATCAAAAGTTATTCAGAGTGGTCCGTTTACTTTTAGACCCACTGTACATATTCCTTTCAGTGGGCCGCAAAAATTTATTTCCCCAGAGGTTTCTTGGAGTCAATATTAGTATATATAGTACTTATTAAAAAAAACACCGATTAACGTAATACCAGTAGTACCCATTACTAAAATTAATTAAGCAGCATTGGCGTTAGTAATAATTAGGCGATTTCTTATGATTTTTCTAGATGAAGAAGTTCCTCTTTTTTATTAATTTCGCTTTTCAGTACAATTTTTCATGTTTATTTTTTCATTTCACCTTGTACTTGTTACCAAAATCAATTAAGCATGATTGACGTCAATAACAATATGGTAACTTTTTGTGGTTTATTTACATATTTAAGTACCTTTTCTCCTTTAACTAAGCATTTCGATGCAAATTATTTTATTTCAATTTGCACCTATTACCAAAATTAGTTAAGTGAAGTTCTCGAAAATAATTTATAAAGGTACTTTTATTTTTATAATCATTTTTGGCCAACGAATTAATAACTGTACTTATGATAACTAGGATCGAAGACCGCAAAAAATCCTCAAACTATTATTGACTCCAGTAATGATTAATTAAATTCAAAATTCCCTATATTAGGGTCAGAAATCCGAATCCGTCAAAAAAAAAAGTATGCTTATTCAGAAAAGTCGTTTTGTCTGATTTGTAAGTTAAAAAACATCGTCTTCACTAATTAACTAGCATATTTGAGTCCACCCCCTCGAACCATTAAGATCAAGTTCTAGAACGTGAAGACCCGATCATTAGATCAAAAGTTATTCAGGGTGGCCCATCTTTTTTTAATTTTGCTCCCTGGTCCAGAAAAAATTGTTAATTATGGAAAGTTTTGACTAACAGGAGTTGACCTCGAGTTATAACATAATGCAAAATGATACTAAATATAATAATCTATATTTTGAAGGGGTGAATTTCTAAAAGCATGTTTAGCTTAACACTAGAAGACTGAACATTGCACACCTGAGAAAGACTGAAGTGTGTTCCTTCCCCGAGTGTTTGTGTGTAGATCAATTAGACACATAAAACATAATCATAATTAATTTAATAACAGCATGTTATAGACTTGATAATCGAAATCTATGGTATTTTATTAGATGTTATTAACGAGAGTATTCTTCTCTCTATAAATAATAATTAGAGATTAGTTGAAGTTTTCTTTTTTTTTTTAATGAAACTGAGGTACCTTAAACTTACCATAGTGTAATTTATATTCAAACCTACCTGAGGTTATGGAATACCTACCAAAATACTTAAGGGGCCAATCTGGCCCCTCTGTCCATCAAGGTACATTAACACACGAATGATTAAATAAGTACTTAAATTGGATCAAATGATGAAAAGGCAGAATTCCAGAAAAACAAAAACAAACGAGAGAGGCTAAATTTGCCCCACACTTCCATCTAATGTTAATCTGATAAGGCATAAGTAAGGGATAAGTACCAGAGAAAGAATTTCCCTATTGATGTTGTTTACGGTAGGTTAATTGACTATCAGGCCTTAATCTCAAGTGTCAAATGATATTGATATAATTAATTTTTAGTTTGAAGTGAAAAAGAATTGCTAATACACTGGGAAGGGCAATAAATAATTGTGTTGGTATATATTTTTACGGTATATATTATATTATCGATAACCGTAATTTAATTAAATGTATTCCAACTCTTAGCATCATTATTAGGCAATATTTAAACTTTTTTTTGAAATGAAAATTATTGTACTTAAAAAAATTAGTTTAAGACTGTTTACATAAAATATTTCTGAAGTTGACAGTAAATAAGTAGAGTGTAATAATTACATAAGTATTATGAAGTCGAATAAAGAAAAAATCTTTTGGAGATCATTCAGAGAGGATCCTGCTGTCAAATGTAACAACCCAACTTCCCAAGTTTTACTCTGAAAAATGTATCTCTCCACTCTGCTTGAAGTTATTGATTACAGCAAGAAGAAATTTTGTTGTTGTTGCACATTACAACGAGATACGTAGCTTAGAAAGTTTGGAGTCAGAAATTTATACAGCGTTCATTTCGCACCAGTTATACAGAAGGTATGAGCTTGGCGAGAGATAGAGAGTCCTTTTTTTCATCAAATTTACCTATCTCTATATATATTTCTCTTACACGGCGACAAAAAAAGCCTCATTACAACTCCCCGAATGGCAACGCTAGAAAATCGACCAATGATTGCCGCTAAAAATGTGACACGCCAAATCTAGCTGAGATGGCTCAACATATAGCGCTTTTAAAAACAGAANAGGGAGTGAAGTTCCTTCCCTCAACCAGAGAGAAAACCGAAGCAAAATAAACGCTCAGTACGCGAGCGAGGTGACTGAGAAAAATCAAAGTATCGAATAATCACTTAAATGTTCATGGCGAGGAAACAAAAACAAAACAATCACAGCCCGCAGAGGGGAACCACAGAGGGTCGGAGAAATATGACCGCCATATATTTAAAACAAAAATAAAACTCCGTCTCTCCAAAGAGAGGAGGGGGTGAAAATGAAAAACCCCTGTTAAGGGATCGTAAGATGGTGTTGACAAAAACCTCGAATGCTGCTCGCTCCCAGAAATGGGCGGTATTTAAAGAAATAGCTAGAAGTGGAAGTTAAACTTCCTAAAAAGCCAAAAGAATCTAGTATTCTTGTTTTTTTTTTAAATGAATCTGGAGTACCTTAAACTTACCAAAGTGTAATTTATGTTCAAACCTAGCTGAGGTTTTGGAAATACCTCAATGCTTAAGGGGCCAGTCTGGTCCCCCCCCCCCAGTCGATCAAGGTACATTAACACACGAATGATTAAATAAGCACTTAAATTGGATCAAATGATGAAAAGGCAGAATTCCAGCGCAACAAAAAACGAGAGAGGCTAAATTGACTCCACGCGTTTTTCTAGTGTTATTTTATAACATAAAGGCACCGGGACGGGCATAGGTAAGGGATAAGTACCAGAGAAAGTATTTCCCTATTGATGTTGATTACGGTAGGTTGATTGACTATCAAACCTTAATCTCAAGTGTCAAATGATACTGAATGTAATTAGTCTTCATTTTGAAGCAAAAACGCTAATTCACTGGGAAGGGCAATAAATAATTGAGTCGGTATATATTTTTCAGTTTTGTGCATGACCATCTACTTTCTCGAGTGAAGAAGCTAGTTTAAAACTCAAATATTTTAATTTTAAAAAAAAGAAGAAAAAAAACTTTTCATGATCAAAGCATTATATGGATAACCGTAATTTAATTAAATGTATTCCAACTCTTAGCATTATTATAAAGCAATATTTAAGCCTTTTTTCGAAATAAAAATTATTGTGTTTAAAAAAATTTAGTTTAAAACTGTTTACATAAAATACATCTGAAGTTGAGAGTAAATAAGTAGAGTGTAATAATTACATATGTATTATGTAGTCGAATAAGGAAAAACATAAAAATCTTATAGAGATCATTCAGTGAGGATCCTGCTGTCAAATGTAACAACCCTACTTCCCAAGTTTTACTCTGAAAAATGCATCTCTCCACTCTGCTTGAAGTTATTGATTACAGCAAAAAGAAATTTTTTTGTTGTTGTACAGTACAAAGAAATACGTTGCTTAGAAAGTGTGGAATCAGAAATTTATACAGCGTTCATTTCGCACCAGTTGTACAGAAGGTATGAGCTTGGCGAGAGATAGAAAGAGAGAGATTCCTTTTTTACCATCAAGTGTTTACCAATTCTACAAAATAAGGAGTATTCTGCAATGACTCCACCCCCTAAAGAAGAAGATAAAAACGGTATTGATTTCTCTTCTTCTTTAGGGGAACACTGTTTTACACACAGATTTAGATACATGATAATTTTACGAAATAATTTGAATTATTATTTTTTTAAACATGCATTCATTCAGGTGCCGTCTCTTTGGACAGCAAAATTCGTCAAACTATTACTGAGGCTTATTAATGATTCATTAATTGTGGTAATATGTACTACTTGTATTGTGGTAATAGGGGATTAATAGCAGAACCCAACATAAGTCCTCAATAGAAATAGATTCTTACTGTTTTCTATAATGGAATAGTACTCTTTATTTTATTACTGTTGTTATTATTATTATATTATCATTATCATATTATTATTATTTTATTATTATAATTATTATTTTATTATCATTACTGTTTAAGAAAGACAAAAATGAAATAAATGATTTCACATATGTTTGTTTTTTACTTTTTACTTAGAGTGTTCCCCCTTCCCACACGCTATCCTGGAAAATGGTCATGTGTCTGTTTTAGGAGATCAGAAGTTCCTATTCCAGTGTGATTCCGGATTCTTCCTGGCATCCCCACCTCTCGTCAGATGCTGGAAAGGAAAATGGTCATCCACAAAGACCCCCAAATGCATAAAATCGGGTATTTAAAATCATTAAGATTCTTTCTTTTCACATAAAAATGAGTGTCATCTTTGATAAACACAATTGTGTTCATTATTTTTGGATTTTGCGCATGTGGTTGAAGATCGATTTCCTCTGCTAGCCATGCATGGTCAAAAATGTCCGTTAGGAAACGTCAATATTGAACCAAATGGAATTTTTAAATGCCTGACGAGCAGCATAATTTTCGAGACCCGGCTGAGATGAAATATTAAAATGTTTTATATTTTACAGAGGGAATGTGCGAAGAACCAACAGCCATATCAAACGGGGAAATCCATGGATCCGAGAGAAGCGTGGGTTCTACTGTGCAGTATATGTGTCAGCCAGGATTTTTGCTGCTCGGTGAAGGGTCAAGGGAATGCCTGCCGGGTGGACACTGGAGTGGAATCACGCCCGCATGCATGGGTGGGTATAACTAATTTTACAGTACCCAGGTAAGGCAACAATTATCAATAATATTGAAATAATAGCTACCGGTGTTTAGTTGGCCAACTTTTACGAAATAACGAGGGAATATATGGAATATTTTTCATAACCATTTCTTTTTACATTGCGTTCGCTGGTTCTTGTTTTCATTGTTAATTCTTTTAATTAATTAACTGTCTCGTCATTAATTAAGCGTTTTGGTTTTGAATTTTACTTTTCAAATTTGCACTAGCCTTTCGAATTTTTTTAACACTACAGCCTACTATTTAACAATTGGGTGAAAAAAAACAAATACTGAGTGATTTGTTCAAATGTGGTATACGCATACGAAATTTGTATTTCATATTTGTTACTTATAATATTCTCGTATTGTTGAATAAGTACGCTAATTTATAAAAAGATTTGCGATGCAATTTACGAAGAACCGAGTAGAATGCAGACCTTAGACGTAAGTCCTAAAATAGTTGCACCTTATTATTTGTTAGTTTATAATAATCTTCATTAAATTGTGCTTCTTTTACGTCTATGGAGGTATATTAGAAGGATTTAAGGGTGTTTTTTGAAGGCTCTATCGAAATATGAAGTGTTGCGCTTTTGCGAATAATGTGCTATTTTTATAACTGCTGTGAGTTTGCAATTGTCACTCATAACAGTTTGATCAAGTTTAAACTATCTAAAGCCAGCGTTGACTACGCTTATTTTGAATATGGCGCAAAGCGTCAATATGGAGAAAAGCCACAGTTTTGTGAAAAATGAAAAGCGTTCGTGGTCTAATTTCTTAATATTTAAAAACGTACACCAATGCTGCATTATTTGGGCTCATAAAAATTTGCGAAATCTGAGAATAAGGCAGTGATTTTGATCATTTTCATCTAGGTGGTAAAATGTCGCCAAATTAGCGATTTTAAAAAGAGTTTAATAACTTTTAAAATATTTAAGTCATTTGTCTGTTCTAAAGACCAGATAACTCTTTACAGCAAGATTATACATATAGTTTAAAATCATCGCATTGCTTCAAGTGTAAGGCACTTAAACTATGGATTTTTAATTTTCCTTGGCGACAGAGCCTTGGTAACAGCGTTAACTACTTCGAGCATCTTCCTGTAAGTTAATTTTGCTCATCGCCATTAAGAGAATGGGTAGAACGTATGCACGTGATATCACGTGAAAGTTCTAATTTCTAATTATTTGTTAACGAGTATTTTTTTTTATACTTTTAAAACAGAGGAATCGGAGCCCATACAGAAAGTTGCTGACAGATTGAAAGAACATTTTGTCTCCAATCTCTCTACCTCCAATGGTAAATGGTTTCTCTTTTGTCTGTTGGCTACGTGGCTAAAAAGCCTCATAGCCAACAGGATTATTTCTAAAACCGAATGAAACGTGAAAGTGCTATTCTGAATAAATTAATAAATTCTGTTAAGTAAAAATAATCACATTTTATAAAAGTCTTAATTGTTTGAAGACCACACAATATTTTTTCTCGCAATTCCCCGGGATTTTAAAACTATTTAAGCAACGAAAACCATTCCTTTCAAAACAGTCATTTAAACAAGAAAATTTAAATATAAAGGTAATTAATTATTTTGCAAGTTAAATAAATAATACCAAGAAAATGAAGTAGTAAGATATTACCTGATTGAAAACTTTATACGCTTATCAAAAATATAAAAAAATGAAATGACGGTCGATATGTTTCAACCGCATCAAAAAGGGGTGCCAATTTTAAAGACTTGACAGGCGTGATTTCAACGAACCAAAAATGATCTATATATATATATGTTACGATGAAGCATCGAAATCTGGAGAATGTCGACATTCACCGGTGAATGTCAACATTCACGTAGTCGCTTGGTGTATGTCCGAAATATTTGCTAAATACCCTTATTTCTGACTCTCACCGGTGAATGTCAACAATCACCTAGTCGCTTTGGTGAATGTCCGAAATATTTGTTATATCCAATTTTATATTAATTTATTCGTTGATATTATTATATTTATTTGATAGATTTATATTTATTCTATATTTTAATACTTACTGACGATAGATTAGAAGAAACATCAGTGCTTGGAGTATCGGGCAAATATATACGGGGCAATGGCACTTGACCTTAAAAAAACATCAGTGTAGGGTATACCGGGCAAAATGTATACCGGGCAGTGGCACTTAACCTTAAAAAAACATCAGTGTAGGATTAAAATGTCGAATAAATGTAATTATATCCACGAATAAATTCATATCAAATCGAACGTAATTAATATTTCGGACATTCACCAAAGCATATCTGTGATTGTCGACATACACCGGTGAGGGGCCGAATGTACAAGAATGTAATGAAATATTCGATCTTTCACCGACGTATTTGGTGTTTGTCGACATTCACCGGTGAAAGTCGAAAACCACCGATTTCGGTCTTTCGCCGTGACATATACAGTCTATGTTCCAAATAAGTACAAATAGGAAGTATATAAAAAATCTCTTGAATAAAAACCCATGACATGTATGTTTAAATATAAAAGTATTGACTATAAACTAGTGCAAACCATGTAACACTACAGTGCGTCTAATAATTTGGTCTAATTATTATAATATACTAACATAATACCTGATATAATAAATATTCTATATTTATGTAATATATAGTCTAATTTATCCAACAGTCGAATTTATATTATATATCGTCTTACTTAACCAATTAATATACGAACGTAACCAAGTGCAAACTGGTTTCAGTCGCTAAAAAACAATAAAGATGTATAGTATCACCTGATAATTAAGATATTACGTGGAATCTTATAGTGCGTCTAATAATTTGGCCAGGGACGGTATATATAAAAAAACGTAAAGTTGCCAATGAAAAACGGAAAAGTAAAGCAAGAAACATAAACTAGAAAAACTACAGAAGTCGAGAGAGAAAAATATGAAAAACAGATCGAGAAAAAACACAGTGACCGACAGACAGATTAGGGTGAAATGTATTTCCGAGAGTTATGGGAAGTTGGGTAAGAACTAATGTCATTAACGAGGGAATAAGCATTCAAATGAATAAAATAAGATTCCAGGGTATCAAGATGAGCAGATGTAGCTTAAGTGGAAATAAGTTTAGCATTGTCGAAATTGAATTTATGTTCGAGATTCCAACAATGCAAAGCAATTGAAGATTTTTCGAATTTTTGCTAACGGACATATCTATCGTGTTTCTTAAGTCTACATTTTAAAGTGTGTTTAAAATTTAGTACCGATGTAGCTAAGGTTGCACTGACAAGGAATGTGATAAATGCCCTAGCGATTACCAAACCTAATAGGATCTTTAAGAGACTTACATTTTATTTGGTTAACAAGCCTGAAAATGACTTCAGAAGCAAGCTGAGATTTGCGAACTTTATTGAAGTTCACAAACCTCAACTTGCTTTTAGACCTATTGCCTCGAATATTCATACCCTCTGCTATAAACTATCTCGCTATTTGACACGTATCATCAGACCTCTTCTAAGAATATGCATGCTGTTAAAAATTCTCATGATTTTGTTTCACAACTTGCACCTCTTTCCCCCTCCAACAAAACTATATTCTCTCTTGATGTTGAATCTATTTTCACCAATGTCCCCATTTCTAGTTCCATTGATTGTTTAAAGCTATGGCTGCAAGAATTTTACTCTTTCACTGAAATTGAAGATATTATCTCCCCTCTAAATTCCTGTATTCTAAAAAACTGCTTTTCAATCCACCCTGGGTGACCCCCACTTACCCATTCTTTGAATCAGCTTGTTTGGTAAGCGAATCACGGTTGCGAATTCCTCAAATTTATTATAACGATAATTCTAATAAATATCTTAATTAAATATTATTTTAAAAAACGACTGAGCAAAATTATTTATATTCACTAATAATAGATAATAATAGAATGATGATAATAATAGATAAATGTTTGGTCGTAAGAAGCGTGAGCAAAACAAGTACATTAATAAGGGAATAATTTGAATATTTGTAGAAAAAAACTGTTTCATGTTCACTGTAAAAAAATTCCCGATAAACTTATGGTAAAAAAAACTGTCGCATTGTGTGCCGATACTTTTCCGTAAAATTTTGTGGAACAAAAAAATTATTTAACGTAATCTTTACAGTAAGTTTTACTCTTAAATTACAGAATCACTGAAATTAATTGAATATTATTGTAAAAACAACGGTATAAAATTTAGTGATAAAAATGAATTTTATGGTTAAATGGATTTTACAGGTGCTGGTCAGGCGCTAGTAATTTTTACTGTAATTTTATTCGGAATTACTTACAGTGAAGAACTAAAAATTGAGAAGCAATCATCATTCCGCTTATAACACAATAAAATTCTTTATTATTTAGAGAATAACATAATAATCATTGTTAAAAATCCGAAAATGTACTTATTTATTTTTCACAGAATCGATTCCACAGGGTCGTCTTCTAGATTCAAATTCTCTGCATCATGGCCTCGAATTAGTAATTCTGATCGACCGTTCCAGCAGTATTGATCCAGAAGATTTTGAGACAGCAATCAATTTCGTCAAGTTTCTTATGCAGGAGTTCGGAGTTCGAAATGGGAACACCAGCATAAGTAAGCTTTTTCTCCGTATACAAGCACCCTATAATCTTTGTAAATATAATAGGCGCTTCAAGTTTACGCGATTTTTCCACTCTCCGAACTTTTCCCCTCTCACCCTTCCTGTTATCATGGTGTCAACAAACCTTGCTTTTTCTGACACCAGTATATGCCAACTTCTCATTTCCAATTTTCATGTACTGCCGTGGAGAAATAGAAACATTTGCTGGTTACCATGGTAACAACGGAAGAGGAAATGTGGAAAGTGAGGAAATCACGTAATTTTGAGAAGATAATTCTATTTATAATTACTTTACTTCGCCCCAGGTGCCCACTGGGTAACGAGAAGAGAGTAACAGTTCTGGCACTAAAGGCCAATGGGACAATACATCCCAAGTGCCCGCCACTTAAAAAATAAAAAAAAAAATAATTACTTTAGTTGTGATTTAAATTGGGCCATCATGGAAGCTATATTCATGAATTTGTCCTTAGGACGGGTTAGCGATTAACATTTAAGCCTAGATAAGCCCATTGACGGGAAAAATCGAGATATTATAATGTGATAGTTTAAAAAATTATGAATTTACAGAAAATACTTGTACTCAACTATTCTAAAAAAGTGTATAATATATTACTATACACTGCATAGAAACGAAAGAACCACCTGTGCATTCTGAGCCAGGATGACTAAATCTTTTGCAGCTTAAAATAGCGAAAGAAGAATTCAAATTTTTGTAAGAAAATGGACTTGTAGGCCGTCTAAATCTAATTGGGCATTTCCTCAACATATGGTTGCAAAAAAGGATGGTGATTAGAAGACAACTGGTGATTCCCGCTGATTATACAGCATCACTACTCTTGACCTCCTACCAAGTACTTTCGATGTTTTTTTTTGTCAGAATTTGCACCACAAAAAATATTTTCTAAAATAGATATTGTATGTGCTGATCATTATATACCAGTGACTCCGAAAGACATTCCGAAAACATTTATAACTACCCTATTCTGATTATTCAAAATTTTTAAGACTGTTTTTCGAAGGCTCTGTCGTATTCTGAAATTATGCTTTTTAGCAAATACATTGCTATTTTTATAACTGTTGTGAATTTGCAACTGTTACTCATGACTGTTAGGTCAAGTTAAGCCTATATAAGGCTGTCAACCTATGTAAGCTGTCAACGCTTACTTTGAAAATGGAACAAAACGTTAATATGGAAAAAAAGCCACCGTTTTGTGAAAATGAAAAGCGTTTGTGGACTAATTTTTTAATATTTAAAAACTTATTTGCATTACTTGGGCCCATAAAACTTTGCAAAAACTAAGAATAAGGCAGCGATTTTGGTAATGTTCATCTAGGTGGGAAAATATCACCAAATTAGCGATTTTTAAAAGGTTTAATACCTTTTAAAATATTTAAGTTATTTGTCTGTTCTAAATACCAGAAAATTCTTCACGATAAGATTATACATATAGTTTAATATCATCGCATTGCTTCAAGTGCACTTGAACTATGGCTTTTTTATTTTCCTTGGTGTCAGAGCTTCGAAAAACAGTATGCCATTCGGATTTTTAAACGCAGCACAACGTTTCAAACTGTACTGTGCCCCCCAAAAAGGGACTAATCAGAAAGATTTTGAGCTATTGATCTGATTTTCACGTTCTAGGACTCAATCTTAATAATTTCAAGAGGGAAGACCTTAAATATGCTAATTAATAAGTGCTGACTATATTTTAAGTTACGAAATCAGACACAAAAATGTACTTTCTCTGAATAAACATGCCATTTTTTCGACGAATTCGGATTTCTAACTCCTAAAATGTAGGGGGTAGCCGCAATCTGGGAAATATGGTAACAACAGTTTGGTCAGGAGAGAGCTATAAAGTTTGGGCCTCTTAATTTTAATTTTCCTTTTGGGTATTTCTCTACATCTCGAAAACTTTAACAAATGGAAACGTTTTTGTACAGTTATAAAATTTGTTTTTCCGAAGATAATTCCATGCAAAAAAAAAACTTTTAATAAATGTTTGTTATTTTAATTATTTTAATTATTTTACTAATAATGGTCGAAAAAAGTTTGAATTGTAAGGTATACAACTTTTTTTACATCAATTTAAAGAATGCAATTCTACGAGGAGAAATACAAGATTTGAGATAAATAGGTTTAATAGTTTCTGAGAAACGCAAATGTAAAAATATAAAAAAACAGGCGCTCGAAATTTGATTTTTCAGGAACCATTCTACCGATTTTGCTCTAGTTTTGTATTCATTATGAAAAACGCTAATTAACTTGTAACGGGTGTTACACTCTCTGATTTTAAATTGTAGCTTGACTTTTTTGAAATGGAAAACATAAATAAATAAAAGATTACTAAGGAAAAAGATTGCTAAGGGAAATGAACGAACAAACATTCTTAATGGTCTTAAAGGTCTTAATGATTTATGAAAGTATTTGATGAGCAAAAATGCATTTTATTAATAAATATTTGAATAAAACAAATACATTTTGTATAACTTTTTTTAATAAAAGAATTGATAACATAAAAATTTTAGGCGAGAAATTCGTTTTTAGATCATATTTGTGATTAAATACGAAATAAATAATGCTTATATTTTAATAGTTGTGTAAAAAGTTTACAATGTCGTAATAAACTTTTTTATAGGGAAAAAAAATCGAAAATTTAAGTTTTTTCCTTTGGATCTAGGATAGATTCAGCTTGTGTATACTTTTTATTCAAGTTTTTCTAACATTGTTTAAAATTTTGTGCCTCGCCATCAGAAAAAATATCGACATACTGAAGATCAAGAAGTTTTTTTCAGATCTGCAAATAAATTGTTATATGGCAAATGATTTGCGATCACTGTTTATAAATACATTCCTTGTACAGTGCATACAACTGCTGTATTCATGATAATTAAGTCATTTAGTAATTGTGTGCACTTTGTACTTCATTTTGTTGCTGCATAATAGTGACATTCCTTCTAAAATCCACCTTCCTTAAGAGTACAGTGCTCAAAGTAACAAATATATTCTGCAGAATAAATTTCATTCTAATAATCTGATTTTTACGAACGAAGTGTCGATCTCAATGATTTGAGGTGACTTCAAACATGTAAATTAATTAGTGCTAACTATTACTTAAGTTAATTAAGTACTTTCTTTGAATAAACAGTTATTTTTTTCACACATTTGGATTTTTCACCCTTAAAATATGGAGGATACCCGCAATCTGGAAATTGTGGGCCTTATAATTTAGTCGTAAATGCTAATGGTAAAAACTTCTTCCTCCTCGACAAAAGGAAAAAAAACGGAGATATAATTTTATTTTCACCTGTAACTAGACTAAATATTCCAGAACAAATGTTTGCTGGTTTATAGAACAAATGTTTAGAACTGTTTAGATGGCTATATAGAACAAATGTTTGCTGGTTTGTGGTCCATAACCACTCTTTTTATGATGGCTCATAGCATAGTGATTGATTGTGGATATGATGTTGTTGCAGTTTATTTAGATTTCACTATAGTTGCACAATGGCCTATTGGCGGTAGTCTGAGAAACATTCCTGAAGATGATCCGAAGACATGCAATCACAATTTTGATCCTCTGCTAGGGGGGATGGCTGCCCTGCCTTGGTAGCTCGATGACCTGTACGCGAAGTCGAGCACTTTACGGTAGAACAGTTTAACGAGGACCAATACTGCACACCCTTGGTTCCTTGACACACACACTGAGGCTTGACTTCGGTGATCTGCTGGGATTCGTGTTTTAACGATCAGTCCACTGCGGAACGGATAGTTATATGATGAAACGTGAGAATTTAAATATTTTTTAAAAATTAAATACAGAACAATCATGATACAGCAGAACAATACAGAATACAATACAATACAGAGTACAGAACAATCATAAAGTGTCTTGACCTAGTGAAGGGACCACTACTGTCAAAAATACGTGCACTTTATACAAACTCAGTAATTACATGCTCATAGAATGACATCGCTTTATTTGTAAAAAAAAAGTATACCTATATAAAAGTATACATACATATATCCAACACTGCAGGTGGAACGAGAGTGGCAATATTGACTTTTGGCTCAAAAGTAGACTTGCTCTTCAACTTGGATAATTCAAGCATCACCGGACCCATTGCAGCTTATGAAGCCTTGGATACTGTGCAGGTCTGTACTTTTAAAATACCTTAGTACAGAAATAAAATTTAATTTGTTGCTTAGATATTTGGTATTAGATGTTTTCATCGCACTGAGATTATTGTTTCACCAACTTCTTATACCCAGTTCTTGCTTAATGTGCCCCTTTGTAATTCCCAATTAATTCGTTTAATCTAAAGAGATGAAAATTTTGAAATTGTTAAAATTAATTTAAATTAAAAAAGAGTAATTAAGAAGAAAACCTAAATTTTTGTGGTGGCAAACGGTAATGAAATAATTCATGCGCCAGTTATAAGTGGTAAATATCAGAATAGTATTATACAAAATTGAAATTAGTTTTCTATATTTAACTTCAAGCATATCTTTTTTAAATAATACGATTAAGTTCTTTTAACTTAAGAATTTTTTTTATCACTACTTGGTTTCACTATTATCCTATTATCGTTATGGCATTGATCCATGTATTTTATGTCAATTGAAGATTACAATATCTAGAATTCAATCCATAGACAAACCACTGGGGAGAAATCAGGGAAAACTTGGAGAAATATTTTTTCTTCCATCCTGCAAAATCTGATCAAAACCGTAGTTTTAGTCTCATGTAAAAATTTTCAATTTAAAAATAACAGAGGTGATATAGTACTGTTGGAAAATTCAGTTAGTCTTTTTTTATTATATCTTTATTTTTACAACTATAATAATTGTTCTCTATCTTCCCCTTTACATTCAACGTCTATTCAATTTTACCGACATTACAAACATAATCATCTTTATGCGTTCCTCTTTTTAACGCTCATTATCATATTTACCTTCCTCCCATTGCAGTATCATCATTATATTCTTCTCACACGCACGTCATCATCTTCATCACTACCTCCTCCCTTTATCATCTATATTATTTCCTTCATATACAACTATCATCTAAATCCTGTTCTCTTCATTTGTTCATCACATTTTTAATTCTTACCATCTATTATACGCATCATCATCTTGATCATTTACCCTTTTGCACGTATCACCATTTTAATCATTTTCTCAGTATCTCATTCATCATTATCTTAACACTATCCCCACTTAATGCAAAGAACATCATCTTAGTCTTCTCATTACATTCATCGCCACCTTAAGAGGACTCTAAACCACAGAACAAATTTTCTCCACCTTTGGTCATTTAAAATTTAACGTTTAGAGAAAGGTGAGCTCAGTTTATAAGCCTAGAGTAAACCATAAAGTTTCAAATGCCGAATTTTTCTTTAAATATCAAAATGCGTATAAATTATGGCAAGATTATTTTTCTACATCGTCATCTTGCTATAAATCGTTGGCACTTTGATATTTTGAAAAAAAAAGTTTTCCAGCAGACGGAATGCTATATTGGGCTCTAGATTTACCATCTGATCAAAGAATACCCATATGGGAAGAAGGCTAGCTTCGATAGACATAATGTAAACCAGTCTCCCAATGCTTGGTGTGGTTTCCTGTGTATAAAGGAAAAAAGCAACATTTAATGGCACAACAGCAGAACTTTTTGAAACGGGTTTTCACTCTTCTCTTCCCTCCACTCCTGGAGTTGGGGAGGAGTAGGAAAGTTTTCTCTTTTTATTTATTGTTGGTTTGTTCTGTATTTTTGCACTACTATTAATTGAGTCATTTCCTTGAAAATTGATTTAATCTGCAACCATGTTGATTAAATCTGCTAACATATTTTTAATGGAAAAAAAGTATAAAATGGCGGTTGGGGGGAGACAGATTACGCAACCATCTACGAAGCACCCAACAATCGGTTCACAGGTGACATGCCTCCTGATTGCCACTTTGCTTTTTATGCGCATGCACTGGATCGTTGTATATATGATGCTCCTGTATTTGAGTATGTTGTTCACCTTGTAAGATGTTTTTCTGATGTAGCATATAGCACCGAGTAGCTCCCCGCATTAGTGACGTATTCGAAGAGCTGGATTTCTTCTCTTTTTTTATATTCTTCGATGTGATCATACTTTTTCTATGCTTTATAAATTCTTAATAACTTATGTAGATGAAAGAGAGAATTCGTCACGAAAGGATACAGCTTCCTCTTAATGCTCTCTCACATTACGATATAAGCATCTTTTTTGCTTGCTTTTTAATTATTGTTTAATATTGTAAGGATGGAGGGGGCGGAACAGCGCTGGAAGCCGCCCTCACTAGCGTCTTCACTCTGCTGTCGCCCCTTCGTGAGAAAGCCAAGAAGGCTATCTTCCTGATGACGGACGGAGAACCGAACATCGGAACACCTGGTATAACTCCAGAAGATGTGGCCATACAGTTAAAAGATGCAGGAGGTAACACAATTCTTCTTCTTAAAATGGATCAGTACAGTGACCGTGTATGTGTGTGTGTGTTGTGCTCTTTCTCTGCGTGTGTGTATGTGTGTACATGTAAAAACATAATATAACTAAAAAAATAATAAAAAAATGATGGAAAAACGTTAAGGTTCTTATCAGGACGAATTCCTTTCCGGCAGCGAAAAAGACATTTCAAAATAAAGAATAATTATCCCAAGGAAGAAAAACCCTCTTTATAATGCGTCTATGCTTAAAAAATGTAATTGTAAATGGGTTTAAGATGAAAGAAGAAAAGCAAACTTACGGATATGAAGTGAAATAAAATAAACGTGTCTTAAAATTAGATAAACTAATCTGACATTTAACAAAAAATTGTTAAGTAGAAAAAATATAATGAGCGTTTTTTTTTTAACTTTATCGTATAAAATATTTGTTAAAATATATAAAACAACTGGCATTTCAGTTCTATGAAAAACACTTTAATAATAATAAATAAAACATTTATGCAGCTAAACCCATAAAGGGTAAAGAGTTAAAAAACAATAGAAAGGTATTTAAATTGAAAAATTATTTGAAAAGAACACACGCGGACAACATATATANATAAAAATATAATTTTCTCTTATTTATTACAAACATTTATATAAATTGCACAATGAATTAGTAGTTACTAGGATTACAAATATTAGGATTACATTATACAGTAATAAAAGAAATACTAGGTTACTAATAGTAACCTAGTATGTATTTATTTCATGAAATAATTTAAATGACAAAGGTCAAGTTATCTGGAATGTCAATTTATTCGAGGGTACTGTGTTTTTTAAATGAATCAAATATGACGTTTGCCAGTTCCACAATTAAGCCAATAATTTACATAAATTTCTGCACAGAAATCTGAAAGGGGTTTTCCATTTAGGTAGATGTTTATAATTGCGTTGAACGCTTCTTGCTTAAGACCAGTACGTAATGTGTTTTTTTGTAAGTTCATTGCTGAAAAGCCCCTTTCAACCTCTGTAGTACTCCCAGTCAGAGAAAACATCAATTCCACCATGCGCAGTATGTTGCTGTATTTCTAGATTAAAGAGTCATTTTAGAAGTGAGGAGATAGACTCTTGTAAGATAACAAAATTTGAAAATGTATCACGAACTTTAACGGGAAAATGGCCGTCCGCGCGGACGTCGGATTCGAGAAATTCGTTTTCCGCGGGGAATTTTTGACAGCCGAGGACGGGCCCTGAGCTGTAGTAAATTTTGGTTTTCGTTCTAAAATTATTGATTCCCTGTTTAAAAAATAAATGTCGCAATCCACCAAACCCTCCAAATCGAGCTTTAAAGATTTGATTGTTTTACCGTTATATCCTTAAATCAATTTCCAAATTGCTAAGAATTTGAATAAATTTGAGTTTTAACTAAAGTCGTATTTATCCGATAAATAAATTAAATTTCCTCAATCTAACGACCCTATGGCTGATATTTATACCTGGGGTATTTGTAAAATTTCATGTTAATGTGGTCTTTCGTATATTGGACAAACTAAACGCACTCTTAAACTTCGACTCATGGAACACTAAAGATACGTCCAAAATCAGGACATTATAGTAGATGATGAGGGAATGGTTCAAATCATATGATGAAACTTTAAGATTTAAATATCTTTTTTAGCTAAATACAGTACTATCTCGATAAAAAAACAACTGAAAATGTAATTACTTATTATACATCATGTAAGGGTAACATAGTATATCACCCAGACGCAACGATATAGTAAAGTGAATTAGTGAAGTGACATAGTAAAGGGGCAACTACGTTCAGAAATATATGCCTTTTATACAAATTCAGTAATGACATACACCCAGAAAGACGTCGCTTACGTTCTCTGTAAAAGAAACTATACCTGTTGCCAACACATGACCTAAATTTAATTCAATATGCTCAGAGGAGTAACATACCACTCTAACAGTCATTACGTTAAAATCCAATCATTCGATCAAAAAAGTTATTAAGGTGTTTATTTTGGCATTGTACATGTAGTAATTCGTCCTCTTTAAGGTTTCGAGATCTTCACGATGGGCGTGGGTCGAGGCATCAACAGAAAATTGCTGTCCAGCCTGGCATCTCAACCTCTGCTCAGTCATGTCTTCATTCTTGATAAGTACTCCGACCTGAGAAGTATTATGAAAGCGATCACGGACACTCCCATCAAAGGTACTCATCAAATTTCTATTGCTGTATGTGGAGGATAGTTTCTGAAATACAGAAACGTCTCCATTTAAGATTATAAAGAAAGGTAGAAAGAGAGCAACGGTGTAATCATATCATATCACATGTGTAATCAACCCATTTCGTTAGAATTTAAAATGGTTTTGCTCTTTTTCCCTTAGATAATGGGTTTTGACCTAGAATATGAAAACACTTCATTTTTTTTACTTACTAGAAATTTTAATAGTGTGATCCGTAATGACCTCTCTAAAAATAGATTCCAAGTCAAAAATGAAGTAATATGGGTGCTAACTAATTAAGGGTGGCTAACTAACACTTAAACAATAAAAAAAAACAATGTCGGAAATGAGCAAGCTACTATGAAGGATAATTACGACAAGCATGTATTTTGATTTTAAGGAATCTCTTTTCAACACGCTCAATTGGCAAAGAGTTTACTGTAAATAGTGTTTCTTTGGCAGCTGCTTGTCATCCTTAGGCCGTTTCCGTGTTTTTTTCAGTTCCAAGGATTTTAAATTGATGTTATGGTTAGCGAATTCCATATTTTAGTACTCATATATTACGCACTCGATCCCCATTAATTTCCGATCGCTTTTTTGGTGGTTATTACTATTTCGTTTGATTTTTTTAGCCATTTTTACAATTATGATAAAAAAGGATAAACACTGCGGTTAAAAATTTTAATTTTAAAATTACGCTTGGTTGAACCGTTTTGGTATTTAAGAAAATTTTTTAGGTGCCATAAATTCTATTTCTCAAGAAATACTATTTTGAAAATTTTGAAGTGTTTGGTTCATGCTATTTTTCATACTTTGTAATAGAGTTTAAAACTTTCAGGGGTCTTAGGGACCGACAATAAGTTACAAAGGAAAGACAGTATTTTTGAACACCCTATGCTAAAAAATTAAGTAATGGGCTTGCAACTTGTATAAATTCCTTTGGTTGTTATTTGCAATGATTGCATAAAATTTAGTAAATCTAGCTTACATAATATTTATGGAAATATGAACATTTTTATAAAAAAACAAGTTTTTTTTATCTGATGTCAAAACAAATTTTTTTGATACTCTACATTAAGAGTGGCCATGTTTATTCACCATAAGGTTTCTTTTCACAGCAGGAGGTGGTGTGATCAGTTCTTGCGGTTACATAAAGGACTCGAGTTTTCACTTAAAGAAGTGGCCATGGATGGCAGCCATCTACGTTGGTTCATCTCCGGAACTGCGATTCTGTACCGGAACACTAATATGCAGTGATTGGATTCTTACCTCTGCCTCATGCTTCAATCGAACCCTCACTGAAGAGGTATTTCTTTCAGGGTCATTCTTCCTATAGGATAAACAGAGACGAACTAGAAGCTGATTGGAGAGTTTTTCGTGCGTAAATATGTTAAACCAATTAGGTTCTCATTCGAATATGCGATTTTTTTTCGCGTTCAATGAGAACGATCCCTTTCACATGTCTACCGGTGTCTCAAAACTGATCAAAAGGCCATTCTCAGTGGATGCGATTTTTTTCGCATGCGGACGGGAATTTCATTGGCGAGTAAAAATTTTTCACCAATCCGGTTCTCATTCGCATTAAGAAAACCCCATCCAGTGAAAATGATCCTTTACAATTTGAAAAACTAGTATAGAGAAACGGAAGGAGAAAGAAATGTTCTGTTTATGCGTACTGTATATAGTTTGTCTAAAGTAAGAACTCCTCCCGCCTCAAAGTTTGAGGCCGTCTGGTGCTATGGAAACAAGAATGTCGCATTTTAGGGAGGGTAGCTCACTCTAGGACTAACACAATAGACATAAGAAAGAGATTCCCTTTCTCTGTCTCCGACCCGAGCCGAAACCACTCCAAAACAGTGACCCCGCACCCCTACTTGAAATAATCATACCTCGTTACCATAGTCACAGCCACAGGTCCAGACAAGTGTCTGGGGGAGTTCTTATTTTAGACAAACTATAGGAAGTTAAAGAATTTATTTTCACCAAGTTTCAAAATTGGTAGCAAAGTTCGTCAGCAGACGGTGTTTTTAACTGAAAAACTATGAACAATGTTTTTTAGTACTTGAAAGATCATTTCAACTGATTGACAAATTTGTTCTCCGATTAGGCCAAGTTGTTGCTGAACCTGGGGATTATTCTGAAAGCATTGTTTAATAATTTTTCTTAGGGAGTTAAGGAACTTTGTCATGAATTTTAAAATTTGGGGAGAGCAAAACTTGTTTCCCGTGCTCCTGCAGCTTCTTTTTAAATCAATGTTTTGAGTCTTCGACCACACAATAGATATTTTCAATTGCCTTTTACAAAAATTGCATTGATTGTTTTAAAAATATATAATTTTTTTCAGAAAAACTAAAAAAAAAGTACCTAAAGAAAGCAAATATTGAAAAACAGTTACGAAATAATACGCAAAAACTTTTACAATATAGAAATTGCCTCCAAACGATTTTGAACCTGTGACTTGTTGAACAAAGAAAGAAGTATTTTAATAAGCAAGTAATATATTAATGCCCAAAAATCAAAAATCCCGCATGATGACTGTAATGTTTTTCTTCTATTATACAGCATTAAACATTGGAGGAGGGGGAAAGGGTATATTTACTTTGAGCCCTCAATATCAATTACAAATTTCAAGTCGTTAAATCTTCAAACGGTTGTCGTTTCACTTGACATTAACATTCTACTTAAACCACATAAGATACAATTTGAAAGAGTAGGCTAATTAGCTTGTAGCAACCGTTGATTAGGTTAAGCATTCAAACACGAAAATTTACTAATTTTTCTCCCTCCAACGATTTGAAACATTATTTAATGAAATACAGAAGGCGAGAAAATTCGTAATTTGCTGCGTTCGTCTCAAGAAACCAGAAAATTTACTTTCGCAAAATTTTATATACTAGTTATAAAATTCGTCAACGGATGGTGCTACTGACTACTTACTAGGACTACAGTCAGTTACTAGGACTACGCTAGGACTGGGGCACACTTTGTAACAAACATCTTTGCTCAAGCGTCTTTTAAATTTGTTTTCAGACATTGTTTTATAGTTTTTCTCTCTCCGGAAGCTCCCTCTATTTACGAGCTTTGTGAATATCTTATGGTATTAAGTGAGAATAAATGTTTTATTTTGTTTTTCCGAGTAAAATGCTGTAATTCGTGCAATTGTATCGTCTTCCAGTTTTGCCTACAATTGATTTTTCAAATCGACGGTTATTTCTGTACGTCCGGTAACGAAAATAAGATTCTTCATTCCAGTTATCAACTTTTCTGGAATGAATTTAAAACGACTATTTTTATATGTGCACAGAGTCGACAGCATTTATTTAGATATTTATTATTATTATCAGATCATCGCCAATCACCCATAGTGCAGTTCTATTGCGACGTTATTAAAGTACCTACCTTATTATTATTAACATTATTCATTTATTCTTTTGTATGAGCCCAATAGAGGGGTAAAAAAAACTTATGTTCTAGCCAGTGTTCATTGTTTTTGGAGAGAATAATATAGTACAGGATGAGAAACATCAAATGAATTTCTATGCTACAAGAGTTGTACTTCATCCTAATTACAGTCCGCTCGACCCAGTGCACGACAACTTGGCTCTCTTACAATTGAATTCCCCAATTCCTCTCAAAAGATTCCGACCAGTTTGCCTCCCACCTACAGGTATTGATTGCTATTTAATAAATTTTGTTCCTAAATATTAAGTGTACAATTAATAAAAAACTTTTTTACGTGATCTTCAAAGTGTTCCACTTTTAAACTCTGTTGCAAGTTAAGAAAAAACCATTATCTTTATTGAGAGAGCCTGTTTGACTCTAAGTGCTCGCCAAATGTATGCTAAGTTCCCAGCGTGAACGTGTATCAACATCGCCAACTCTTAAAACGACGTTGCACAGCCTTCTTTTTGCTTGCTTTCTTAAATCGTGTGAAATGAGGAAAATAAAACTTATTGAATAGAAACTATTGTTTTGCTAATAAGAATTAATAAAAATTATATCTAAAAATCGTAACAAATACACGTATTTCTGTTCTTTTTTTAAAGAAACTGATAAAAGAATAATAAATAGTGTTTCTTGTAGACGATTTTTTTTACAGCCGAAAACTTAATTCTTATCATGTCAGCATAAGAAGCGTCATTTTTTGTCATCTAATCAAATCCAATGTTCTTGCAACGTCATATTGTTGTTTCTTTTTCAAGAACGAATCTTCATTTATCAAAATATGTCCCCAAGTCTAGGATTTCAGTAAGACTACGAAACTATAACCCTTTTTAATAATTTTAATATGGCAAAAGATATCACGACTTATTTTTCTGTACGAAGAGTGCAACTTTTAAGAAACTTTTTTTGTTATTCCTAAAAGCATATTTATATAATTTGATAACTAAATAAGACGGAACTATATGCATCAGGAGCAGATGATTACTTAAATCCTGTACCGTAATGGTCTTTTCTCAATTTGCAATGGAATATAGTATTTATGGCTATGGTTAATCGTATAAAGCGAAACAGAGGTGAATTTAGTGGTAAAAAAGAAGGAGGCTTCTGGGTTATTATTTCAAATTTATTTTCAATCCAAAACCTCTATCACATTTTCGGGAGAATTTATTTATTGCGGAGCTATTCTTTTTTAGATGGAGCTCAACTCCCAATAAGGTGACTTAGATCCCAGCAATGACTGCTCGTTACAAATTCTGCTACTGGCTCACATGCACTACAGTGCTGACATAAAATATCTTCAGTGGTAGACGAATCATGATTTAGAATCTCTTTGCCGTCGCGCAAATCATGTTTTTTTCTACCTGTGTACCACATATGTCGATTTGTGATAGTTTTTGTCGAATTTAGCTTCATCTAAAAAGAGGAAAAGAAAAATTACACATAATTTCAAATTTGTGAAATTTTTTTTGAGAATCCTCATTTGCAATAAACAATATGTGTTTCTATTAAGATTCCAAAGCAGATTCTGACCTACATTTAAAGGATAGGATTGAGAGATCGTGGAATAGTTTTTTGAAAACACATGCTTTATTTAATTTTATTTATTGCGTGTATATTTCTCAAGATTTTTTACCATAGTCGGACTTCTGGTACACCCTATATAATGTTGCTATATTTTTATGATAAAGAAACTCCATATTACTCATATTTTATTTTATAGTGCGAATCTTTTAAAGCCGTGAAATTTATAGTTGACGTTAAGTATTATTACTACATTTTTATGGTAAAGGACCTCCACAAATATGGAAGTGGACAACATTTACGAACCTCTCCATTATAAGTTCTCATATTCACTGTTATCTTCGTGAGTTTAACGTAGCCCGATTGGTGTAGAAAACTATTCTCTCTACCACAATAACAGTCACAGCCTAAAAAGTTTCCTCTTTTCTTCGTGAACGTTTGAAATTTTCAAAATTAGAATTCCACTAACCTTTTTTTCGGGGGAAATTATACAACATTTTAATAGATTAACATGAATCATGATTATCGAAAGTGGGCAAGTGTTTTGAATCAAAATTAAATCATATTTTTTTGGAAGGAAGGATATAATCAAAATAAATAAAAAAATATTTAATTGAATGAATAATTTAGTCGTTGTGTTGAATTTTAGGTAAAACTGTCCCGCTGCACATGGATCTTAATATCAATGCTTCGATTGCTGGTTGGAGTCTTCCCCCCCAGCTCGATTCGAATGGCCACATAGATGGCAGCACTCACCTCTTCAACAGAGTCACCGTCACTGTGGAACTAGCAGAGCAGCATGAATGTAGACGGATCGTAGGAAGGGCATTCAGTGAGAATTTATTCTGTGCAGGATTTGGGTGAGGACACTTTTATTATATTATATGAATACATCAGTGTTGGCCATTTATCCTAAAAAAAACACGTCCTTGTAGCATATAATGGATAAATGTTTACAGAGCAATGTGTTCAATATGCATTTTTTTTATCACACCAACCCTAAGATTTGGTTATTGTTAACAGTGGACAAAGATCTTATTAATCATTACTGGTTAAAACCGGGGTAATAACCCTGCTATTGTCCGGTTTTGTACTTGTCAGTAGTCCCCTATAGTGATTCTCTTTTTGGTAAAGGGTTTTGTCCAGCATATATTTGTCCGGTAATCATACTTCTGATGTTATTAAAATCTGCACTGATGTTTTTCCGAATCTATCTAAATAGTGTTATTCCCTTTAGCACTCTTTAAAAATAGAATAGGTGTCTCAAAGTTTCTCCACTCCTTCACCCTTTCCGTTAAAATGGTTTTGGCAATATCTTGCTTTATTCCTGTGGTAATATGTTTGAGTGAGATGTCAGAATACACTGGCGTAGAGAAATCTGCCGTGTAATAGGAAAATCAACGCACGCGACAAAAAAATTTAAAATTGAGAATTGTACATATTTAACATCTCTGCATGATGAACTACATGCGTTCTTAGCATACTTAGCGTTCATGGCACTCGCCGTACAATGAGGTGAACCGGGTTCGAATCCCAGCTGTGGCTGGTCGATATGCATTCCGCATCCAGCTCGCACCGACTACAGTGCTAACGTAAAATATCCTCAGTGATAAACGGATCATGGGTTAGAGTCCCCTAGCCATTAGTGGTTTTCGTTGCTTCCCTCTCCATGTGACGCAAATGCGGGTTAGTTTCATCAAAAAATGCAGGACCAGGGCATATTTCTCTCAATACTTGATCCAGGAGGTCTCTTGTCTTCTGGATTGGGCTCAAAATTGCAAAGTTACGTAGTTGAACATTGGTAGTCGTAAGCCCAAATTGATTCGGCTTCTCAACGACGTTTGTAAAATAAAATAAAATTGTAAGGCAGAAAAGCAAGGTTTGTTTAAACGTTGGCAACGGAGAGTGAAACAAAAACATACCACCCTCGTTCATTTGCCGTTTATGTTCCTGCATGCGTTAAGCATTGAAAATGTATTGAAGACAGGAAAGGCACAGCTTTTATTTAACTCGTAAAGTTACTAATAAACTCACATTTAGAATAGCTGCTATATAAAATAGAAACCTATACTCTTTTTTATATAGAATAGGCGTTTCAAAGCTACACGATTTTCCTTATTCTACACACTTTCCCATTTCCATTGCCACGGTTTCGGCAAATATTTATTTTTTCGGCAAAGACAGCATATTCCAACGGGTGGATGAGAGAAGAAACATTTGTCAGAACTTTGGTAATGGAGAAAGGAAAAGTGTGGAGAGTGGAAAAATTGGGTTACTCAGAGGCGCCTCGTATACATGCAAAAAGTTTAAGCTTTTTAGATAATAAAAATGATTTGTGATTCCACAGGAAGAAGGTTTGCGCTGGAGATCCGGGTTCTCCTGTCATTGTTGTGGATCCCTCAACTCAGCTGCATCACATCATCGGAGTTTTGGACGGGAGGGAGAAGTGTGCTGAACTGGGACTCAATTACTACACTGAACTCACCGGATACATTCCTTGGATAGATGACGTCATAGACAGGTGTCATTCCAAACACATTCATCTGTAAACAATAAAATACTCAGGATAATAGTTGTAGTCATTGAAAACACATAACGTTGGTAACCACAATGATACTTGGAAAAAAGAATTTTTGCAAAAAACAAAAACCTTCATAAATGCATAAATGGTTGGAAAAAGGATATTTACAATCTAGAGAAATAACAAAATCCAAAAATTTAGAAATTAACAAAAAATGATTCCAAGACAAATCATTATATATATATATATATACACACACACACAAATGTAAAACTCATTAATTCACTGCCACGACTAAATCGAAAAAGAAAATCTATTTATTACTCTTTATTCTTTTTTTTATTGCCACAAAAATGTTTCAGTTATTTGGTTATACTACACTGGTGTGCAAAACTTAAGCAACAAGTGCGTTTTTTGTCATAACTGAACAAGAAATCATCCGATTGACATGAAATTTGAATATGATGTGCATTATTTTGTACTTAAACGATGGTAAAGGAATAATGGCGCAGAAATGAATATAAGGCTTAAAGTAGGGTATGGAACAAAAAAGGGCTTTATTTGACATATAGTGGCGTTACACATGATTGCCTAAAGAAGCGTAAGTAAAAACTGGCAGATTTCGCTAGTATGGGATATGCCCTCCCCTTACTGTAATTGTTGCTTGGCATCGTCTCTCCATGCTAAGCACCAGTTTATCCAGGAGTTCTTAGGGTAAACGTCTCCATTCCTCCTTTAACGCATCTTTCAGCTGATGGGTGTTACCAGGAGGATACTGTCGTGTCGCAAGACGTCTGCCTAATGCATCCCATACATGCTCTATGGGATTTAGATCTGGAGAGTAAGCTGGCCAATCCATTCGTGTGATATCTTCACTTTCCAGTAGCTCTTAAACATTAGCAGTACGGTGTGGCCGGGCATTGTCATCCATACAAATGAAGTCTGGAGTCCCCTCGGAACAGACGCACATGGGGTAGGATTACCTCATTGCAGTAGCGGTCTCCAGTTACAGAACCTCGGTCGAAGATCTGAAGCTCAGTCCGC